CGCCTCCTGGGTTTACGCCATTCTCCTGCCTCAGCCTCCCTAGTAGCTGGGACTACAGGCGCCCGCCACCTCGCCCGGCTAGTTTTTTTGTATTTTTTTTTAGTAGAAACGGGGTTTCACCGTGTTAGCCAGGATGGTCTCGATCTCCTGACCTTGTGATCCACCCGTCTCGGCCTCCCAAAGTGCTGGGATTACAGGCTTGAGCCACCGCTCGCGGCCGTGATCTATATTTTTTTATGCTAATTTTTAGTTTTAAAAATTTGTAAAGCCGTTCACTGGTAATCTGTGATAATGTTCTGAACCCAGCAAGTTGAATCTTTTTTTTTTTTTTTTTTGGCCAGTTGAATCTTGTATCTTATTGTACCTTATTAAAGTGTTGAGAGTAAAGCTATCATTTTATATTTGGAAGAAAAAGGGAGGCCGGGCGCAGTGGCTCACGCCTGTAATCCCAGCACTTTGGGAGGCTAAGGTGGGCAAATTGCCTGAGCCCAGGAGTTCGCAACCAGCCTGGGCAGCAAGGTGAAACCCCGTCTCCACTAAAATACAAAAATTAACCGGGCATGGCTGCATATGCCTGTAGTCCCAGCCACTCGGGAGGCTGAGGCAGGAGAATTGCTTGAACCCGGGAGGCAGAGATTGCAGTGAGCTGAGATCATACCACTGTACTCCGGCCTGGGCGACACAGCGAGACTCTATCTCAAAAAAAAAAAAAAAAAGAAAAAGAAAAAGGGAAGGGAACTAACATTTTGGAGCCACTACAACGTACTATACTGGGTGCTTTACTTCTCTGATTCTTTTACTAACCTCCTATTATTTTAATAACCCTGTGTAGCTGTAATATTGTTATTTCCATGTTACAGATGAAGAAATTGACTCTCAGAAAGGACAGGTAACTTGCCCAAAGTCACACCCCTAGTAGATGTTAAAAGTAGAAATTCAGGCAGGGTGCGGTAGTTCATGCCTATAATGCCAACACTTTGGGAGGCCGAACTGGAGGATAACCTAGCCTGGGAGTTCAGGACCAGCCTGGGGAGCAACGCAACACCCAGTCTCTACACAAAATAAAAAAATAGCCAGGCATGGCAGTGTGCGCCTATAGTCCCAGCTACTCAGGAGACTAAGGTGGGAGGATCACTTAAGCCCAGGAGGTTGAAGCTGCAGTGAGCCATGGTCATGTCACAGCAGTCCAGCCTCGGCAACAGAGCAAAACTCTGTCTCACATTATTATTATTTTATTATTACTTTTGAGACAGGGTCTCACTCTATTGCCTGGTCTGGAGTACAGTGGTGTGATCATGGCTCACCACAGGATCAACCTCTGGGCTCAGATGATCCTCCTGCCTCTGTCTCCCAAGCAGCCAAGACTACAGGCACGCACCTCCATGCCTGGCTAATTTTTTGTATTTTTGGTAGAGACAGGGTTTTGCCATGTTGCCCAGGCTGGTCTTGAACTCCTGGTCTCAAGTGATCTGCCTGTCTTGGCCTCCCAAAGTGCTGGGATTACAGGCATGAGCCACTGCACCTGGCCACAGCATTCATTTGTAAAAAGCTTTACTGAGATATAATTCATACATGATAATACACATATTTGAAGTGTACAATTTGATATGTTTGACAAATGTATTCCACACTACAGATCCTTTTGAGTCCTCCCTAGTGTCCTGTGAATGATGAAGTTTCTCCAGTCCAGTGGGAGTAGGCACTATTACTGGCCCAGTGGTGCCCGGCACTGTTCCTTCCAATCCTTTTGGATAGTTCTTTCTTCATCCTCAAGTAGCTCCCTCACGTGAATGTGCTGATCAGTTCTCAGCTAAATACTCCAGGAGGACCCTCTGTGGATCTCACTTCTTTCTCTGTGCTGCCCTCTCCTCTCCGGTACTCTGCTGTCCTGTGAACTCTAGCTGCCTTGGCCCCTCCATACTCTCAGCTCCATTTCTTCAACTCAGGAAGCCCGCCAACCTCTCCCTGCACCGCAGCCTGGAAACTCTTTCAAAGCAGTAAGCTTGGGGCAGTCACAAAGTTCACCTCTTTTATATCCTTTCTCTTTGGTGATTACTGTCCTTTGTTGCCTGATGTCCAGCATCCTGAAAATCATTATTTCATATCTTTTGTCATTTAAAAAAACTGTTTCAAGTAAGAAGGTGAATCTAGTCCCTGACATACCAAGTTGACCAAAAGCAGAGGTCCCTCCAGTGTTCTTTGCATGCCACTGACTTACATGCTCAAGAGAAATCTAGGAGTCATCCCTGACACCTTTTACCCCTTTCCCACAGCCAGTCCATCAAGACTTATTCTCTGTCCTGGCCAGGCATGGTTCATGCCTGTAATCCCAGCACTTTGGGAGGCCAAGGTGGGTGGATTACTGAGGTCAGCAGTTTGAGACCAGCCTGGCCAACATGATGAAACGCCATCTCTACTAAAAATATAAAAATTAGCCAGGTGTGGTGGCAGGCACCTGTAACTCCAGCTATTCAGGAGGCTGAGGCAAGAGAATCATTTGAACAAGTGAGCCAAGATCACACCATTGCACTCCAGCCTGGGCAACAAGAGTGAAACCCCATCTAAAAAAAAAAAAAAAAAAGTGCCAGAAAATAAAATAAAAAATTTTAAAGGACATGGCCTTGTTTGAAGGGGCTCCCATTGGCCAAATCCAGGACAATCAAAATATTAGGTTGATGCATTAAAAGAATGTCAAAAACCACAATTACTTTTGCACCAACCTAAAAAAGAATAGCAAAAATGGCTGGGTGCAGTGGCTCACGCCTGTAATCCCAGCACTTTGGAAGGCCGAGACAGGCAGATCACCTGAGGTCAGGAGTTCAAGACCAGCCAGGCCAACATGGCGAAACCCTGTCTCTACTAAAAATACAAAAATTAGTCTGGTATGGTAGTGCGCACCTGTAATCCCAGCTACTCAGGAAACTGAGACAGGAGAATCGCTTGAACCGAAGAGGCGGAGGTTGCAGTGAGCTGAGATCGCACCACTGCACTCCACCCTTGGGGACAGAATGAGACTCTGTCTCAAGAAGAAAAAAAAAAGAATGGCAAAAACTGCAATGCTTTTGCAGTAACCTAATAAATAATGACAGTAATGGATTATAACTTATTGAACGAAATAAAAATCCACGTGTGTATACTACTAATACATACATTAATAAATAAGGGAGAAAGGAAGCCTTTTCTTCTTTTTTTCAGATGGAATCTCGCTCTGTCACCCAGGCTGGAGTGCAGTGGTGCGATCTTGGCTCACTGCAACCTCCGCTGGGTTCAAAGGATTCTCCTGCTTCAGCCTTCTGAGTAGCTGGGATTACAGGTGCACCACCATCATGCCTGGCTAATTTTTGTATTTGTAGTAGAGACAGAGTTTCACTGTGCTGGCCAGGTTGGTCTCAAACTCCTGACTTCAGGTGATTCACCTGTCTTGGCCTCCCAAAGTATTGGGATTACAGCCATGAGCCACCTTACCCGACTTTTTTTTTTTTTTTTTTGCCATAAAATGCCAATTAGTAAATTTCCGAGGAGTGATGGAGTTAGAAAAATCACCCTTTGGCATCATAGTAATAACTGAATCAGTCAAGAATCATCAATGGATGCTAAAACCTACTGGATGAAAGTTTAATGAGGAGGATAATTTCATAGTCTCAAAAGATCTTCTCACAAATTACTTAATAATCACAAAAGAAAAAATAATAACTTTTAGGTGGAGAAAGTGGGCAGACACAACCTTAACCAACTGGTTAAAATTAGCATCAATCAGTACACACTAATGATGTGATGTACTGAAAAGGATACATCATCACTTAGGTACTATATATAGCCTACCAAAAATGGACAACCTGAATCTACTCATGAAGAAGCATCAGCCAAGCCCAACCCTGGCCAATATCCTTTTTAAAAAGTCAATTTAAAAACAAAGACCGAGAAACTGTTCCAGATTAAAGGGGACTAAGACACATGACAGCTAAATGCAATGCATGATCAAGGGTTGTATCCTAGACAAGAAAAATACAAAATTGCAATAAAGGACATTATTGGGATAATTATAGCAGAATTTAAATATAGAGTATATATTACATAATACTGTATTAATGTTAAACTTCCTCATCTTTATAATTTTATAGAGCTTTTAAAAGGGAATGCCCTTTTTCTTCAAAAATAGATACTGAATGGCCAGGCACGGTGGCTCACGCCTGTAATCTCAGCACTTTGGGAGGCTGAGGCTGGTGGATCACCTGAGGTCAGAAGTTCGAGACCGGCCTGGCCAACATGGTGAAACCCCATCTCTACAAAATATACAAAAAATTAGCCAAGCGTGGTGGCGCATGCCTGTAGTCCCAGCTACTTGGGAGGCTGAGGCAGGAGAATTACGTGAGCCCGGGAGGCATAGGTTGCAGTGAGCCAAGATTGCGCTGCTACACTCCAGCCGGGGCGACACAGCAAGACTCCGTTTCAAAAAAAAAGAAAGAAAAAGAAATAAGGAAATAGACACTGAAGTCTTTAGGGGTAAAAGGTCATCTTGAAATTGACATTACCCTTTACCACTAAAAAAATACACACACACACACATATACAGATAGAGAGAGGGAAAGCAAAGGTGGCAAAATTAATGTATATGAGTGAATAGTATGGTAATTTTTTGTACTCTTCTTGAAACTTGTCTTGGCTAGGCACTGTGGCTCAGGCCT